CGCTGGTGCTGCCATCCCTCTGGTTGCAACAATAATGCGGCCACGACGTCGCTCGCCAGCAGAGCTGTTGGAAGCAAAAAAGAGGGGATGGGGATGGTTTCTAGCAAAAATCAGAAAATGGTTCCAACAAAATCAAATATGGTTCCAACAAAAAGAAAATAGATTGTAGAAAAAATCATGATGGCGACGGCAACGTCTTCTCAATTGTAGGAAAACAGAAAAGGCACTAGTAGAAAACAGGGCTTTGGTCCGCCCAAAAAAGAGCATTAATCCCGGTTGCATTACGAACCGGGACTAATGTGAGCATTAGTCCCGGTTCGAGCGGCTAAGGCATCATACATGCATTAGTACCGGACCTTTAGTCCCGGTTCGTGCCACGAACCGGTACTAATGGGTATGATGCCCATTAATACCGGTTCGTGGCACCAACCTGTACTAAAGGTTAGACCTTTAGTCCCGGTTCGAGCCACCAATCGGTACTAATGGGGTTTGAGGCATTAGTACCGGTTCGTGGCACGAACCGGTACTAAAGGTCCCATTTTCAAACTCTACCCCCTGGGATCGCCTTTTCAGTTTCGTAAAAAGCAAAAGAAAATGATAAAAACTTGAAAAATTAAAATTCTTCAAGATGTAGTTATGTTACTACATCTACTAGTTAGGAAAATTTAAAAACTTAAATTTGGACATGTTTTGCAAAAAGTGTAGGGAAAATGTAAAACGGCTATAACTTTTGAATACGATGTCAAAATAAAAACGTATAATATATCAAAATGTTCGGCACAAAAATCTACATCCAATTTTGACGGCCTACGGCCTGTTTGCAAATTTTTAGAAACCTCAAATTCTAAAAGGAAAAAAAGTTATGCTCAAATTTTAGTTTTTTTTGAATTTTTGTTAAATCTGGTCAAACTATGGTCAAACTACTTATTCAAGAAGTAATATTGTTACTAAATAATTATTTTAGTTTTTTTGAATTTTGGTCAAATCTGGTCAAATTGTGGTCAAACTATGGTGAAACAATGGTCAAACTACTTATTCAAGAAATATTAGTGTTACTAAATAATTATTTCAGTTTTTTTAATTTTGGTCAAATCTGGTCAAACTGTGGTCAAACTGTGGTCAAACTATGGTCAAACTACTTATTCAAGAAATATTAATGTTACTAAATAATTATTGTTTTTTAGAACAATAGTTTCAAACTCAAACAGTGAAATGTGTGACTTGATGCTCAAGCTAAATTCCTGAGGGTTAATAGGATTGACATCTTATTATTGTGAGGAAAACAACAAGTGCAGACTTGGAAAGAGGGAGAATAGAACCCAAAAGTTAAGCGTGCTCAGGCTGGAGTAGTGAGAGGATGGGTGACCGTCCGGAAAGTTGGATGATTTGGAATGATGAAGGGCGATTAGAGATTAGAGGTTAAATTGAGCAGTGATGAGGGGTGATTAGAGATTAGAGGTTCAAAAAATACAGAAATTTGAAAATCCAAAAAAAATTCGAAAAAAAAAATTCGAAAAAAATCATAAAATTTCCTTTAGTACTGATTGGTGTTACCAACCGGGACTAAAGATGGACCTCGAGACAGCGGCCATGTGGACGGCCTTTAGTCCCGGTTCGTGTAAGAACCGGGACTAAAGAGGAAGGCTTTAGTAACGACCCTTTAGTCCCGGTTTCAGAACCGGGACTAAAGTCCTTATGAACCAGGACAATAGGTCCTTTTTCTACTAGTAAGGGGTTCCAGCAAAAATAAAAAGTGTCTTCACTTAATGCAGAAAAACAAGAGATGGTTCCAGCCTAGACGCCGAGCTCTCCCTCTCCAGTGCGCCGCCGCCGAGCCCTTCCCCCTCCCCTCTCTCCCTCTTCCGATGGCCGCACGTTTCCCCAGCGACTCTGCGGCGGCCAATGGCTCCTGTTCGAGGTCAACATCCCGGCGTCGCCGGACATGCGCGCCATGCCGACGGGGTGAAGGCTGAGCAACGGGGGAGTGCCTGTTCCCCCATTGCCCGATGCCGCGGCACACCCCCACTACTTCGCCGCCGAGGTCGAGCTCGTGCGCGCCTCCCTCACCGACGAGCAGCTTGCCCTCCCCCAGTACGACGCCGACAACTACGCGGCGTGGGCTGCCTACTTCGCACGCCGTCAGGAGCAGCGGTTGGCGTCCATCAACGGGGTGCCGGTGGTGGGCGGCACGAAGAACAATGAGGGGCGCCACGTGTGGTGGGGCGTCCCCGGCCGCACGCTCGAGGGCATGCTGGCGCACCTCGAGGGCAACAACAACCCGCCGTTGGCATACCCCCAGGCGGCCCCGGCCCACCGCCGACGCGCCGGGAAATGGCTGCCCAGGAGGTTCGTCACTCCCTCGTCTTCCTCCTCGCACTCCTCGTCGCGATCTTCTTCCCACTCCTCTGGCTCTCCGGCGCTGTTCGGCGTCAAGGCCGAGCCCGCGGCGGAGACGCCGCTCGCCGGCGCACTCGAAGGAGTCGTTGTCGTCCTCGACGAGAGCGACGAGGATGACGCGCCGCCACCAGTCCGCCATGGCGACGCCGGGCAGGGGTCCAGCAAGGGCGGCCCCATCAAGGATGAGAAGGCCGCCGCCGACGGCGGCGACAACGGCGACTACTAAGCTTTCAGTGATTTCTTTCTTTAGTTTATGTTTGTAACGCGTCGCGAAACAATATATGCCAAAGTTTGCCGAAATTTAGACGTGTTTTAACCGAACTTTGCCGAACTTTTTTAATTTTAAGAAAAAATCAGACGCGTCTGTGGGCGGTCCCTGTGCCGACGACTGGGGGCCAACTCGTCCCCAGGCCGTTTTTTTGCGCCGGCTCGTCCCCAGGCGGCGATTTTAGACGCCCCGCCAACAGCTCGAGATGCTCTAATGTTATAGCCATCAGCTGGGTTTCCGTATTGCATGAGCATTTGGTTTGGCAGTTTCTGCTTCAACTTACTTTGTTGTTGAAGAAAGTAACGAAATATCTCTAGTAGCTCCATAACAAAAAAAAACTTGACCAAAAAAGCTGTATACTAGTATAATCCAGCCGAAGCGCAAAAATGAAAGTTCCAGAAGTATATCAAGAAACAAAGAATACGCTGACACTATCAAATGTATCAGGCATGGTTCGACTAGAAACAAAAAACTTGGAAAGTAACTGGGCCGGATGGGCCCTCCCTATGGCCCATGGGGGCCCGGCGTCTCCTGGGTCCTGGCCTGTGTAACGGCCGGCATCTCGCTGCCGGCGGTTCTAGCTGGTCCCGTCGGTCCCCTCCGTGGAGCCGCGGCGGGCTTCCTCCTCCGCCGCCCGGCGCCGGCGCTGGGACCGCCTCCGCGCGAAGACGACGAGGGCCACCACGGCCGCGGCCGCGACCCCGAGGGCAAGCCAGTGCCAGTGCCGGGAGAGGAAACCCGGCACCACAGCAGCCGTCGACGCGGCAGGACCGATCGGGTGAGCGCCGGGGACGGAGGGCGGCGGCGTCGGGCCGCTTGACGGCGGCGGCGGCGGAGGAGGAAGCACAAGGACGGACCTCGGGGGCCGCGGAGGCGAGAGCGGCGAGGCGCCGCAGCCGAGGACCGGGCCGAGGCGCGGCGCTCTCCACGCGAAGACCGGGACGGCGTACCGCTCCGCGTCGGATGGGTAGAAGAATGAATCGGGGATCGGGACATGGTCGACGCCGATTGCTCCGCTGGTGGGCGGAGGCCGCTGGCGGACTTCGCCGTCGAGGAGGAGGAATAGGAATCCGGGAAGGGGGTTCCCGTC